AAAAAAAATTAAGATCATGGCCACTAGTCCCATCACCTCCTGGCAAATAGAAGGGGAAGATATGAAGGTAGTGACAGATTTTACTTTTCTGGGCTCCATAATCACTGCAGATGGTGACAGTAGCCAGAAAATAAAAATACACCTGCTTCTTGGAAGGAAAGCGATGACAAACCTAGACAACATCTTAAAAAGCAGAGACATCACCTTGCCGACAAAGGTATGCATAGTAAAAGCTATGGTTTTTCCAGTAGCAATGTATGGAAGTGAGAGCTGGACCATAAAGGCTGACCACCAAAGAATGGATGCTTTTGAATTGTGGTGCTGGAGGAGACTCTTGACAGTCCCCTGGACTGCAAGGAGGACAAACCTATCCATTCTGAAGGAAATCAACCTTGAGTGCTCACTGGAAGGACAGATCCTGAAGTTAAGGTCCAATACTTTGGCCATCTCATGAGAAGGGAAGACTCCCTGGAAAAGACCCTGATGTTGGGAAAGTGTGAAGGCAAGAGGAGAAGGGGACAACAGCAGACGAGATGGTTAGACAGTGTCACCGAAGCTACCAACATGAATTTGACCAAATTCCGGGAGGCAATGGAAGACAGGAGGGCCTGGTGTGCTGTGGTTCATGGGGTCACGAAGAGTTGGACTCGACTTAATGATTAAACAACAAACAACAACAACGTATTCAATTCTGCAGAGTGATCCAAAATTTGGGAGTTACCTTGTTTGGGATTTCAGTTGCTTTTTCTAGTACTGCATATCCTTCCAGAAATTGGCTCTTACTGGAAAACTTAATTTCCTGAACTGCAGGTTGTCTGTGTGGCATCTTTGTGGACTGAAGTGTTGCAGGAATTTGATCTGACATGTCTTCTACATTATGGCTGCAGTTTTTCCTGTGACATAGTAATATACCTCTTAATAGAAAGTAGCAGTTATGGTGTGCTGTTAACTAGAGTTTGTCAAATTATAGTACTGTATATCTAAAAGTACAAGACACAATGCAGCCAAAATTAGGCGCTTTTAGGTCCCAATTATTTCAATATCTTATGGAGTGCTCCAGTTACAAACAACAGGCATGAAAATATCACCTTTGGTTATATTGTGAGACTGCTTTACTACATACAACTCAAAACAAACTATACAGAGATCAAATATTCTTACTTTGCTCCCATTAGAAGGAGCTTTATCAGGTGCTGCTTTCAAATTATTGTATTTATTTAAATGTGGATATTCAGAAATGCAACTGCTGTTTTTTTTCACTATTTAAAAGCAAGCAAGAGACTGCATTGACAACAACCTTGCTAACATTTCCAGAAGTGGCTGGATTTGGACATCCCGCTAAAGAATCAAATAAATATAACCTTCAGTTGCTTAAATTGCATTGTTACAAATTCAAAACCCATTAGCCAGACTCCTGCACATAAACTGAAACTGTACAAGCAGTAAACTCAACCTCAGCTGCACACTAGGGCACCAGAAAGATAAAATCTGTTTCATGGAAGTGAAAAAATATTTTATGTCATATTAAATGCACTGCATTATATGCTGAAAGGAAAAAATATATTTTAAAAGGATCAGAAAAGCTACTTTATCTCGCAAAAGACTTGATAAAGAAAGCAATTTCCTCAGCTCCTTAGCTCTCAGAGACTACAGAGAAAACTCTTTATGTCTCTGCCATCATATTTTTTTTCACTTAGCTTTCTTTAAAAAATGTTATCATCATTCACTGTCTAAAAAGAATTCATTTTTCAATCATCCAAGAACATAGGTGGATTACGATATTGGAATGGAAATTTTCTATATAAAATTCATTTACAGACTATTACATGAATGTCATGTCATTAGCTTAGTAGGAGATGTTGCCATAGAGAAGAACCACATAAAGTATTCAGAATTGAAAAACTCAATGTTCTAAACGTAGTTTAGATAACATGCTGACCTAGTCAGAAAAGGAGTTTGTGCTACTCAACAGAGAGCAGCCTCTTCTTCTGGGGAACCTCCTTCAGCCCAGTTATAGCAAACTTCTACATGGAACATTTCGAAAAACAGGTCCTGGCTGCGGCACCCTTCACACCCACAGTCTGGTTCCAATATGTGGATGACACCTTTGCAATTTGGAACCACAGTAAAGAAAAACTGGAAGATTTTCTAAACCGTCTCAACAGCATCCACCAAAATATACAATACACCATGGAAAAAGAAATAGAGGGCCAACTCCCTTTCTTAGATGTCATGGTCATACACAAACCTGACCTCCTGACTGGCGAAATGTTAGGAAGAATAACCTTCAGAACACTGTCAAACAGCCTGAAAAACCTACAACAACCATCGGATCCCAGCCATGAAAGCCTTAGAGAATACTGTGACTCAATCATATACCTCTATACGTATGCATACATTCTACAAATGTAGAAAGTAGAAAGTAACACACGACATGCAACACAACTGCAACATTTCCACAGCAGATAACATTACCTTTGCAGACTTTCTGAGGGAGAGAAGAGAATCTTGAAGACATATTTGTCTACCAACAGGGAAAAACTGTCACCTGAGCTGAGCTGGTGCCATTTATCTGTGTCCAATGGCAACAGTTGACCATTTTCATTTGGCCGATAAAAGCAAGGGTTTATGTGCACCTGTCAATTAATAAAAGGACTCTTAGTAGAGATACTACGCCAGTCACTGTCCTGTATAGGTATTTACAGGCTTAATGGCCACTCTAATTCCACTGCAATATAACAGTACAGCTTAGATAAGAAATAATAAATATTATTAAAATTAAAAATTACTTATTGTTCAAACCGTGAGATAAAGAATCCATATTCTACATTTTGTTTCCATCCCAATCAAAACTTTTAGACTACATATACCATATGTGAGGATCCAGGGAGTCCCTTGCACGAGTGAATGATAAAATATCTGATTTTCATGAAATCACCACCACCACCACCACGTTAAAGGACTTCCAAGTCTCAGATTTTGAGGGAGCTGCAAGAGGTGGTATAAGGCATCACTAAACGCCTCTGAATGACTGTAGCTGCTCTCTGAATACCACCTCAGGAACCCAAATATCATGATGACTCTATGCATCTTTCTGACTTTAAGTACACTTTTTAACTTTTGACAAAGCCGCATTCAGTTCTTGAGAAATGAGAAGAGACACTGTTATTTGAAATATCTGACAATGACTGAAGAGGTCAGTACAGCAGCATAGCCATGTCAGTTCACCCATCACTGGTGGAGAGGGGCAGGAGCTCTACAGAACTGAGGTCATGGCAGATGAAGGCTGGATGAATTCTATCCTTGCTGGGTATTGGCCTTGTCCCAGGCATAGCATAACATCATTACAGCTACAGAAGATGTTGGAGACCACTGCTCTAGAGCACTCTAATTATCTGCTTATGCAAACCACTACTTGCCAGAATGTGGCAGACTCTAAATGGGGCAGACTAGGAAATGAGCAAGTCAGAGAGAATGGGAAAGCCAGAAATAAGCACAAAGTGACTTCTTTACATATTCTGACTATTAAGTCTGAAGCAAGCCTATCTGGATATTATGTTCCTTTACCCCTCTTTCTTAGCCCAGCAAGTCTTTTTGTTGTTAGATGATAGTGGAAGCTGAATACACGTATTTTCAGAAAAATCCTTTAATGTCCCAAATTTGTTAGCATTAGACTCTGGCACAATTACTGTACTCTGGAGCAGATTCATATGCACCACCAAAAGAGGATTCTTGCTAAGGGAAGTTAGTACCCTGTAAACACAACCTCTGGATGCAATGCACCCTCTCAAAAACCAGACAGGCCCTACCCCAGGCTAGGATGCAAACAAATACTCAAAACTACATATACATGCTGCAGTGCAAATAAAACACACACGCAAACATTCTTGCTTCTTGTTAGATGTAGGTACAGGAATAACCATCCACAGTCTACAGCCATCAATTACCCCATCAACTATACCTCTTTCTATCACTAAAGGGTGTATGTGTACATGCTTGCATCCCATTATCTCCAATAGATAGAAGCTGCCATAGTCTATGAACATTTTTCTTTTCATCTCTGCTTGGAATCTAAAAAAAGAAAGCTGAGACATGGAACATCAGAACCAATCCTATAAAACCAAACCTTTTCAGCTTTTGTTACACTGAGAAATAGAAAACAGATAGTTACCGGTTTGATGCTAAGTTGGTTGCCTGCTACTTTCAAAATGGCATGTTTCCTGGATACTCTTTTATCTGTAATCTTTAAAAAATCAGAAAATCAGCTGGATATTAAGAGCCAATAAGGTAAGAAAAACAATAAAGATCTCTAAAAAACAGAACAAATATGATTTATAAAAGGAAAGCAAATTTGTTTGCTTTTATAGAACAAAGATTGTCCATCCTTCTTTCAAGGTGCATCTAAATACTGCACCAAAGGCATGCAAAACCTAGGTTTCATGTCCTGTTTTAAGACATCTGTACAAGAATTCAAAAAAAAATTCTTTCAAATGTGCATTTCAGTGTAATATTGGGGGAGAGAGGGAGAAAATAATCTAAACAATTCCTCTTATGAGGTAATTCATTTCAGGGAAAATGTATATATTATGTACAGAACAAATATTATTTCACTTTCTGTGTTTGCAATATTAACTACTGGGAGCTCATTAATGTGATTGGGATGAGTTAAATCAGGGTACCTCTGAGTTGTAGAAACATAACTTGACCATTGTCATGCCACCACCTCCTCCCTTGCCCCTTGCCTGGCCTGGCTAATCAAAGCAGTCAGGCCCATAGCAACTGAATGGGCCACTGCAATAATTAATGGGTCTCTCCGGGAGTTCCTCTTGCCCTCAAGGAGACACTCATTAGGCCCATTAAGAAGAAACCAAGTTTGGCGATGGACAACATTGGCAATTATAGGCCTGCCGCCAATGTTTCCTTCCTCAGCGAAGTGGCAGAGAGGGTGGTGGCTGACCAGCTACAGGCCCTTTTGGATGAAACCAATGCCATGGATCTGTTCCAGTCAGGCTTCACACCATACCATGGCATGGAAACGGCATTGGTCGCCCTGCCTGATGTCCTGTTGAGGGAGGCCAACAGGGGCAACACATCTGTTGATTCTCCTTGATATATCAGCCGCCTTCTAAACCGTTAACCATGGTGTCCTCCTGGGGAGGCTCTTCAAGCTGGGAATCGGCGATCTGGCACTAGCCTGGCTCTGATCCTTCTTGGAAGATCATCCTCAGAGAGTACAGCTTGGGGTGAGTGTTTCGGCCCCATGGAGTCTCAATTGTGGGGTTCCACAGGGCTCAATTATCTCCCCAATGCTGTTTAATATCTACATGAGGCTGCTGGATCAGGTGTGTGGGGAGCTTCGTGTCATTAGTACGCTGATGACAGGCAGCTCTACATCTCCTTTTCTCCAACAGCAGTGGATGCCATTTCCTCCCTTCAGCGCTGTCTGGATGCCGTATTGAAATGGATGCAGGAGAATGGTCTGAGGCTGAACCCAGACAAGACAGAGGTCCTGAGGGTGGGTGGCCTCAATGTCAGTGGTTTGGGGAACTCCCTCTCTTTGGGGGGGGGTGACTCTCACCACAAAGAATTTGGTTCGCAGTCTGGGGGTCCATCTTGACCCGGCGCTTACCATGGAGACCCAGGTAGC